TCTACGGCCGCCTCTACTCGGACAGCGCGCGCCGCGTCCTCCTCGGCCGCCTGTGGCGCCGGCTCCGGGGCCGGGCCGGCGATGCCTCGGCCGTGATGGCGGCGCTTGCCGGAGTGTTCGTGTGGGACGAGGAGCGGATCCAGGAAGAGGAGCTGCAAAGGTAGGCCCAGGGGCGAGGTCGCTGCTTTTCCCCGGTGCCCGGCTCAGGTGGGTAGGGCGGGACCTTGAACCGGGGCTGCTCCCAGTAGTCCTTGAAGCGCGGCGAGGCTGAGTCCTGTTTTAGCAGTCCTTGCGGGGTTTTCGTTTGTTTTTTTAATCCTCACTCGAGGATATTTTTACCATTGCTTTTCAGAGAGGGGAGGGGGGGAGGAAGGGGAGTCATGGGAGTCATCGATGTGAGAGAGACACATCGATTGGTTGCCTCCTGCACGCGCCCGCACAAGGGCCTGGACGAGCCTGCGACCGAGGTACGTGCCCTTGGCCAAAATCGAACCCGGGCCCCTCCAGTCCGTGGATCGACGCCCTAACCACGGAGGCGAACCGGCTAGGGCAGTCCTTGTTGTTGTTTAATTGCCTGTGTTAATTTGATTTGTCGGGCTGGAAATAGGACGTGTAGGTTAATGTAGGAGGGAGACTTTGAATGGGGAGCAACAAATAATATGAGATGTTGAAGGCACCTACATGTGGCCATCGTTCGTCTAATCCTAAAGGCACCCAGAAAGGTGCAAATTCAAGCCAAGTTTCAAATCTGACATGCAGTTTACAGAGTAACTTCATTCCAAGTGGGACTTGGTCAGAAGTGCCAGGAGAGCTCTCGTCATTGTGACTCCGGCAGAATGATGAGGCTGGAAGGGATTTTGCCCTCCTCTCACAAGCCAGTAGTCCAGACATTTGAACCTATAAGCTTCAGTGTTTTGCTCCTGTAACTAGGACTTTTAGAGTACTGGTTTCGTTAGGCTCTGAAATCATGCTGTCTTCATCAAAACCTCAGTGTGAAAACTGCATGTCATTGACTGAATTTGTTAATCTGTGATTTGAAATTGGTGTTTCCAGTTTTCAAGTAATCTCCTAGAGAAGCCCTGCTTCAGCTTCTTGCTTTACTAAAATTGCCTCTGTTTTCTTTTAACAGGTATTCTTAAACTGCTTTCTCCATAACACGTACACTGTTCCCCTTGAACTCTGAAACTGATTTCAGGAACCTGGAACAGTTGTCCCCACCATAAATCACACACAAGTCTTATTTGTTCCACATATTTTTCTGTCATTCCACATTTTTGGTTTGGTTAAAAATGGAAATACTAAAGTTAACATTTGTCACCTCTTTAGAGGTGTAGCACCCAGATGTCAGGCATATTTGTGTAACACTGTGAGTTGTGGGTAAATGCAAGTTTATTTTAAGACTGGTAATACTTTTCCTAGCAGGAAGGATTACTGTTTTATAAATGCAACTTAAAATCAGAACCTCAAACAATCTTACAAAAAAGTTAAGATAGCAAAGCGTGATTGGTACTTGGCTATTTGTTCTAAGAAACAGTCTTGGAGGGGTAAGAAATAAAAGGAGACTTTTAAGTTGAAAAATTATCCATTAGCTGTTTGAAACCTTATTCTGTTTTTGATGATGATACCAATGTCCCACAGTGGTGAAGTTTGAGGGGGAAATTCTAGTTGGATCTGTTTGGGGAAGAAGAGAAAGACCAGAAAAGGGCTCCTGGGTATGAAAGAGAGGGAAGATGTTTTCGGGGTGGGAGTTGAATGGTGTTGGAGCCTAGGGGCAGATGACATTGTTTGGCTTCACGTGTTTTTATGGAGGAATGTCTTGGAGCCTCTGTTGAGTAGGTCTCCTATTTGCAGGAGCTAGTGGGGGAAATAAGATAGGAAATCACCCTAGCCAGTTTGGTTCAGTGGTTAGAGCATCAGCTCGATCCCCTGCCATGCCGGAGGCAACGGATCACATGTTTCTCTCACATCCATGTATCTCTCCCTCTTTCCCCCTCCCTTCCACTCTGAAAAAGCAATGGGGGAAAAAATATCCTCGGTGAGGATTAAAAAAAAAAAAAAAAGTTAATGAAATCAAAGTGGTAAATGTTTGAGTTTAGTAGTCACTGTCCACTGGGGCAGAAAGATCAGGCCAGTTGATGACCATGCCCCCAGTATTCATTCCATTTCCCTCTGTTTGGGCTGTTTCTGAAACGAGAAGGCCGTTGAAATACTCTTGGTTCTAATCTAACTCCTAAAGAGATATTGTTATGGGTTAATCTGCGAAGGCCAGTCAGAACACTTAAGTTGTCTTTTTTGACCCTCTCCAGGGTTGTTCTAGTAAAGCCCCTTATTTAACACTTCATTGTCCATTTCATGCTTGATTTCAGTCATATACTTAAAATTTGTTCAAGTTACCCATTTTGAGGATTTTAAAAAAGGTTATCTTGGTAGGGAGGCAAACAGTATACTATTCAACTATGTTTTGGTTATATAGTGGTTCCATAGGTCTTTGTTCTGATAGCTTGTCATGCTTATATTTTATTGAATACAATATTTTGGGTACAGGTTAACTTCTTTTGCTTGGTGTTTATTCTGTTTGCTTTAACAGAGGCACTGCTGAGGTTGTCATAGCTAGCTTAGAACATCTTAGATTTTGTTTGTTCTAGTGAGATGATATTGGATAGCTTCCATAATGGACCGTAGTTGAATGTGCCTTGGGACAAGTGGATTTCTTTCATTGTTAATGGAAGAAGAGAATAATTGTCCCGTGGTCCTTAAATCACAGCCTTTGGCTCTTCTGTGATGTTTCTGTACCAACTTGTGCTGGTACAAACTAATTCTGTGATTGCTGTCTTGGTTATATAGTGATGGAATGTGCAGGATATCTCTTTGTGTGCTTTAAAGTGGCATGTGTTTTTTTTTCTGTTATTTGAGTTTCTATGCAGAATGAAAAAGAATAACCTTGCTTTCTAGTCTCTTGTGTTTAAGAACATCTTAACAACAAATAGGGTCTTATTAATCTAACAACAGGAAGAAAATTTGAGAGAAGAAGGGCACCAGGTGTAGAAATCAAGTCTTTTACCCACCTGGCTTCAATTAAACAAACAAAAATCACTTCAGTCACTATTTTTGGTGCTGCCTGGCATTCTGTGAGCCCAGGGCAGATCTTATGGAAAAATACAATAGTAATATTTGATTGCTTTGGAACATTAAGAAAAAAATTACAGGAACAAAAAGAGGAAGGAAATTAAGAAATATGAAAAGCCAGGGGAAAATGTTCCATTAACCTCCCGTCTTTTTAAAAAAGTTACAGTTCATTGCTCTAGAAAGTTGAGTAAATAAGTGCCAGTAAAGTTTCATACAGAAAATTGGCTGTTTTCTCATTTTTGCCTTTCTGGGCACTCAGAATATTTTTAACTTCATTATGCTATTAACTAAATAAATGATCAATAAAAAGTCCTTTTGGCTTAAAGGATTTTTTAAAAAAACCACTGTCACTGGAGGGTATTTTACTGATAAACCCTCCTTAGACCGTCAGAACTACATCAGAGTTGACTTGAATTGTTTGAGGTTTTCTTCACTATTTTACCATTAACCAGTTGGCCAAGAATTGCAATGAGCTAGTTGATATCTCTTATTACTAGGTGTGTCCCATAACAGTTATACTTAAAAGTTTCTAACTTTCACAGAATGGAATTTGAGGCGGGGGTTTTGTGAAATGAGTCAGTTGTCTTACTGAAATTGCTGATTACAGGGATGGCTTTTTTTGAATCATTTTTGAGCCTTGTATCAAACTCTGCACTGATGGCAGGACCCCGTAGATGGAACCAACCATTATTACTTATTCTTCCGTTTTCATGGTTTTACACCTTCAGTTTCCATAGCTCTCAGTCCAGCCTCTCTCAAATACTGAACCCTCTTTAGTTTTGGAGAAAGGGAAGCATTGATCCTCTTACTAATCTGATTCTGTTACTATTTTTGGAATAATCTCTCTTGTCCTTCTTTCCTTCTTATTACTTGTTTAAGTCTCTCAGATAACAAGGTGTAGGCATCCATCCTGCCCAAACAAGATTTGGCAAAGCAGGCTACCCAGATGTGTGGTGAGAGGTTTTTCCTTCCTTCCTTTGCATACAGGGTAGTGAGTGACTGGCACCTGGGTCTGTCATGTCAGCATTTAGCAGTTCAGACCTCTCAGAGATTTTCAACCTGGAGAGATAATCATTTATATTTTCATGATGCATTCTTGCTCCAGCAATAATATTGTGCTATTCAAAGAATAAATGTTACTTCTTCACAAGGCATTTTAATAAAGGCCACTTAGTGCCCTTTAATTATATGGATCAGAGCTCTGTGCCACCTTGAGTCTTATTAAAAATATTCCTTATAGTTTAATTTTCTTAAAACCTTATTACTGTGTGATTTAGTGAGCCCCTGATATACTTTTTAATAAAATATTCCTGCCTGCCTTTATTATGTGATATGAATGACATTCAAGAGTGTTGTTTATTTTAATTAAAGGATGCTTTACTAGTCCTGAAAAGTGCCATGTGATGCCTGCCTTGTTCTCTGAGCAAGTCTAGCTGTGGTTTTGTTTTTTCCTCTGCAAGACCTTATTGCCTACTCCAGAGTTCCTTCCCTATTTCTATACATGTTTGCAGTGGTAGCAGTCAATCCTGTTTTGCAATTTTTAACTCAAAACTTTTCTAAAATGGTTAAACCTTTTCATCAGAACATCAGTATAAATAATAGATTCTTGGTTGCAAACAAAGAAACTGATACTGGTTAACTTAAGACAAAAAGGAATTAATCAGAAAGATGTCAGGTCTCTCAGAGCCAAAGTACAGGTTGGCTGAGAGAACTGCCAAGACCAGCTAGCTACAGGAATAATCTTCTTAGGTGCTAGTGTTGCTGGTTTTGTTTCCCCTAGACCAGTTGCACTACTGCATTGTATTCTCTCAGGATCACTGAGAATAATCTCCAAAAGATCCTGTGCCTTTCTCATTCCTCAAGATTCAAAGTCTCTACCAGAAGTCTCTAACCTTACTTAAATCAGGAGCTGTGCTCTAACAGAGAAGGAGGCTCCATCCCACCTCTTCTGGGATTCTCCCCAAAGATTGCAGGCAGTCAGAACAACAAATTTCCCCCATGTAAATAATTTCATCTAACTCCAACGTTTAAAATTCAGAGAATTGGAATTTTAGAGCTAATAGAAACCTTCAAGAAATAATGTCCTCACTTTATAGGTGGAAACAGGGAGGGCTTTAATAAGAATTTGAATTATTGAGGCCCACTTTCATATTCATTTATTTGTTCAATTCAATAAACATTTGTTGAGCATCTAGTGTTTACCAGGCTAGGAGCTGGGAGTACAGATATGCAAACCACTGATTCTAGGCCATTGGGGAATTCATAGTTTAGTAAGGAAGGCAGATATAAAGATAAATTAAAATGTGATGTTTCTGTAGAAAAAAGTAAATGTAGTAAATGTATGTGGTTCATTGCCTAGAAGTTAACCTTGAACTTTGTGGGGCTTTTTTGTTGGTTGGTTGGTTGGTTGGTTGGTTGGTTGGTTGGTTGGTTGGTTGGTTGGTTGGTTTGGAAGATGTAGAGGAGTATAAGGGCACTTTAGACAGCGTGTGTCAGTAGTTGGTATCTTTAGTCTTGAATCACAGAAGAGTTGTATATGACATAGATAGCCAACAATCTTTCCTGTCTCCTATTTAAAGGGTAAGGGGAAAATACAAGCCATGTTTTAAAAAATTATTATGAAATGTTTCAGATATTTATATATGATGTATAATGACACATAGTATGATATATGGTATTGTTACAGGCAGCCCAGACCCCAGAAAACCTGTTATCCATACAGCCCTCAGTCAGAAGGAGAGGGTTGTCCCCAGTCAATTCTCATGTAAATGAATTTAAAGGAGAGACTCTGATTGCCTTGTGATAAAGCCAATTTAGTGAATCAGTTAAAGCGAGCAGATTTATTAAAGAAGCAAGGCAAGCAAATATGTCATCTGGCATAGCACTTGGATGGGCTCTCAGCTAATCTGAAGAGCAAATTGGGTGGGAGTTTGAGGTGTTATATACCCTCCTGTCCTTAGGTTTCAGATTCCTCTGTTGAATATCTTGGTATAGATTAATTCTCAAGGTCCCTTTTTACTTTGTTGTGGCCTTCCCAGAATTCATGAGAAGCACCTGGCAATTTTATTTTACCAAGCCTCAAGACTGCTGGCTTCTCTGTTAGGGAGTGAAATAAATAAATAAATTAAATAAATAAATAAATAATAAATAAATAAATAAAACTGCCCTTTTTTTCTTTCCCCTTCCCCCCTCGTTTCCTGCATTCTCTCCTTAGGGAGGCTTTTAACCATTTGCTCTCTAGTGTCGTTGGCTGGGGATCTTAGAGAAAGGGCCTGTAATTTACAAGTTGGCTGCAAACTGCCCACACTGTTTGGTCTTGTTTTAACATTCCTGTCTCAGTTTCCCTATGCCACTTGCCCTAGAATTTTTCTAGCTTTTCACTACCCTGCAGCAGTATTGTTTGGAATGTTTTAAAGTTTTATGCAGTCCTGTACAAAATAATAAACTGAATCCAGCAGCATATAAAAAGGATTATACACCATGAACAAGGAGGATTTGCCCCAGAAAAGCAAGGTTAGTTCATCATATAAAAATATATAAAATAAAAATTTTTTAAAATCAATTTAATATACCATGTTAATAGAATAAAGGAAAATAGGAGACATCTATAATACTGTCAACAATAAAAATACATTAAAAAATATAGAATAAAGGACAAAAACCACATGATCCTCTCAATAAATGCAGGGGAAGAAAGCATTTGACAAAATCCAGCCTTCTTTTATGTTTTAAAAACCCCCAAAATATTTAACAAAGAATAGAAGCAAACTTTCTCAGGCTGATAAAGGGTATCTATGGAAAACGCAGCTTAAGCTATAGTTAATAGTGAAAGACTGAAAGCTTTCCCCCTAAGATCAAAACAAGGCAATCTGTTCTCACTGCTTCTATTTAACATTGTACTGCATGTTCTTGCCAGGGAAATCAGGCAAGACAATGAAATAAAAGGCATCCAGATTGGAAAAGCAGAAGTAACGCTATTCTAGTTGAAGCTGACCTGATCTTGTATATAGAAAATCCCGAGGCATCCACAGGAACTGATTAGAGCTAATAAATGAGTTTACCAAGGTTGCATGATACATGATCAATATTTAAAAATCATATCTCTATACATTAGCAACGAACAATCCAAAAATAAAATTAAAACAGTTCCTTTTATAATAATATTGAAAAGAATAAAATCCTAAGGAATAAACTTAACTAAAGTGCATGACACAGTGAAAATTGCAAAAGATCACTGAGAGACCTTTTAAAAGACAAGTAAATGGGAAGATATACTGTGTTCATGGGTTATTGTTAAGATAGCAATACTTCCCAAAGCGATTTATAAATTCAACACAATTCCTATCAAAATCATAGGCTATTTTGTGGAAATTGACAATCCAATACTTATATAGATGTGAAAGAGACCCAGAATAGTTAAAACAATCTTGGAAAAAGGAAGATTTGAAGAACTCACCCCAATTTCAAAATTTACCACAAAGTTACAGTAATTGGCATAAAGTTACAGTAATTGGCATAAAAATAGATATACAAATTGTTGGAATAAATTGAAAGTTTAGAAAGAAGCCCTTAAATTTACTGTGAATTAATTTTTAGCAAAGGTACCAACACATATCAGTGGGGGAATAGTCTTCAACAGATGGTACTGGGGTAACTGGAGATAGACATGCAAAATAATGAATTTAGACCCCCTACCTCACATTATACACAAAACTTAATTCAGTGGATCAAAGACCTAAATATAAGCTAAAACTAAAACTCTTAGAAGAAATTATGGGCATAAGTCCTTAAGACTTTGGATTGGGCAAAGGTCTGATATAATACCAAAATAAATAGAGAAAAAATAGATTAATTGAACTTTATCATAATTAAACTTTTGTGCATCAAAGGTGACTATCACGAAAGTGAAAACACAACCCATAGAATGGAAGAAAATATTTATAAGTTGTATATCTGGTAAGGGATTAGTATCCAGAATATATAAAGAACTCTTATAATTCAACAATAAAAAGACAACTTAATTTTAATTAGCAATAATCGCACCTCAGATAAACCTCATTGGCTATGATACTGCCACTGCGCAAAGCTAGGACAACTCAGTTTTAAAATGGGCAAATATTTCAATAGATGATTTCTCCAAAGAGACACAGATGGCCAATACACACTTGAAAATATGCTCAACGTCATTAGTCATTAGGAAAATACAAATTGAAGGCCACATGAGATACCATTTCACATGCATTAGGATTGCTAGAATAAAAAAGATGGACGATGACAAGTATTGGCAAGGATATGAAGCACTTGGAACTCATACATGTTGATGTGAATATAAAATGATGCAGCTGCTTTGAAAAATAATTTGGCAGTTCCTCAAAAAGTTAAACATGACCCAGCAAATCCATTCCTAGGAATCTACACAAGAGAAGTAAAAACCTACATTTATATGAAAACATGTACACAGATGTTCAAAGCCATATTAGAGTAGCCAAAAAGTGGAAACAGCTTAAATGTCCATCATTTGATGGATGAATAAATAAAATGTGATATATACACACAATGGAATATTATTTTGCCATAAAAAAAGAAATGAACATGAGTGAACCTTGAAAATAGATTAAGTGAAAAAAAGCCAGACACGTGAGATCATAGTGTGTGATTCCATTTATATGAAATGTCCAGAATAGGCAAGTCCATAGAGTCAGTAGATTAGAGGTTGCCAGGGGCTGTGGGGAGGCAGGAATGGAAAGTGACTGTTGATGGGTATAGATTTCTTTTGGGGATGATGAAAACATTCTAGAATTAGTGGTGATGGTTGCACAACCTTGTGACTATACTAAAAAAACACTGAATTGTATACTGTAAAAGGATGATTCTTATGGTGTATGAATTATATCTTTTTAAAAAAGAGTAAGAAAAATACTCTTATAGCGTAATAGGAAGACAAAGAATCCAATAAAAAATGGGCAAAAGGTATTAAATGACCTTTCATAAGTCATAAACCTTAATAGTTAACATTTGAGGGCTAATTATGTGCCAGGTACAAAGCACTTTACATACAAATTAATTTCTACAATCAACCTTTGAGGTAGGTACTATTGTTAACCCCATTTTACAGGTTAAGAAATAGGGACAGTAATTCAGTATACTACTTAATAAATGTTGGAGTGGGAATCAGACTCCAGAACTTACATTTTTATTCACTTTATATTGTTTTAAATCTACACCATTCTTATACAAGTCTCTGTGTGGACATGTCATTCCCCAGGGCTGACTCCAACCACCTGCAACATACCTGTTGTTTTTCTCCTTTCCAGATCCATTGATGAGATGAAACGGTTGGAGGAAATGTCAACTGTGTTTCAGAGCCCTGGGGTTGAGCGCCACCCTCCAGAATCAAAATCCCAAACAGAAGGGAATAAAGATTCAGGTGGCAAAGAGGCACCATGGGAAATGGTGATGGATAAGAAACACTTTAAACTGTGGCGGCGCCCTATTACAGGCACTCATCTTTACCAGTACAGAGGTGAGCCCAGCTTGGCTGCCTTGTATGTTCCATGGTTGCCCGGGTGTTCGGGACTTCTGTTCCTCAGACTCTAAACTGTTCCGTTCTGGTTGTTTCTTGGTTTACTTTTGTTTGCCATGGTTTACTATTTGTTGTCTTTCCTAGATGACAAGAGTCTCAGTGTCCTCTTTGCTGTACTTTTCTGTAGGGTGTCTTTGCCACACCAATATGACTTCTAGTTTCTGAATCTGCCTTTTAGATCTGTCAGTGCTATAATTGAAATACAGTAAAATGATAGGAATATGGTGAGTGATGAGAGTGTGGCTAATATCCCTGATTCTTATTTGTCGTTCTAGTTTTTGGAACCTACACAGATGTGACACCCCGGCAGTTCTTCAATGTTCAGGTGAGTAAATTTTTATTCCCTAATTTGGAGCCTCTAAGCCTGGAAATGCACTTAAACCACCCTTCACATGAGTAATTTCTCTGACTTAGAAGACATTGGCTTCAATACATACATCCCTCTCTGTACCCCTCATCTCACATTGAATAGCATCTGGGTAAACGTTTGACTTACAATTTCTTTGTCCAGTGTGGACGAGACCAATTCTACCCCTTTCCAGATCCATTGATGAGATGAAATGAAATAGTTGGAGGAAATGTCACCTATTTTTCAGAGCCCTGGGGTTGAGTACCACCCTCCAGAATCAAAATCCCAAAAAGAAGGGAATGATGATTATAGCACCCACTATAATATGCAAGTGCACACATTCCCCTAAGCACTGAATTTTGTGAATTTACATTGAATTTTGTTGGTTTGGATGTGTGTAATAGTGTCTTATTTTGGAATTCCTTAAGTACTAGTGATGTTAGAAATTTTTAAAGAATAGGCTACTTGACATTTCTTTGTGTGAGGTGTCTGCTCATCCTTTTGGACTTTTTGTTGAAAACTTTTTAGAATTGTTTTATCCTTATACATTTATGTCACTATCTATTATTGTATTTTCCCCAGACATACCTGTTACATCTTATATTATTCTTTGGTTTGTCTTTTTCTTGTTAAGATTCGCTTGTAAGGTAATGGCATTGACCTACAAGTGGAGATTTTAAGAGTCATCTGTGTAAGCACAGCCATGTCTTTCGCACTTTAGCACACTGTCTTTTAGGTTGGATCACTGTTTCAGGAAAACTTCCTTGGATCAGAGGCCCAAGCATCTGGAGAAGGTTTCTACAGCTTTGTTTTAAATCTCTTGTCCTTTCTCTTTCCATAGCTAGATACGGAGTACAGAAAAAAGTGGGATGCCCTGGTAATCAAGCTGGAAGTGATTGAGAGGGACGTCATTAGTGGTTCCGAGGTTCTTCACTGGGTAACACATTTTCCTGTGAGTATCTTTACTTCTGGTTTTACTTTTACCGCGTCCACGTGAGACACAACAATAATCCTGCTCCTCCCTTTTTTTAGTATCCAATGTACTCACGGGATTATGTTTATGTTCGGCGGTACAGCGTGGATCAGGAAAACAATGTGATGGTGTTGGTGTCACGGTAAGTATGTTTACCTGGGACTCCTGCTGAATTCTGTTAGCAGTGTCCTTCACTCGTATATGTCTGGTGGGTTTGCATGTTCTCAGTGCCCTTATAAGTGAAGCCCGGGTCCTATCCATCCCAGCTAGAACATGATAGAACATGAATTTCTTAATATTGATAATTTAAAAAAGAAGTGCTCTGCCTTCAACACAAAGCCTAGTGAGCTGGGAATTACCAAGGGAACTCACTTTGTTTTAGAAGTTAGTTTGCATTCATTTGTCTTGTGACTCCTGTTTTCTTGGTTTTTGTTAGTCCTTACCCAAGGATATTTTTTTTTCATTGGTTTTTAGAGGAAGTGGAAAGAAGGAAGGGTGGGGGAGAGAGAGAGAGAAACCTCGATTGGTTGCCTCCCACACTCACCCTGACCAGAGCCCCAGAGCTCAAACCTACAACCCAGGTAGGTGCACTTGACCGAGAATGGAACACGGGACCCTTCATTGCATGGGTCGACATTCTAACCACTGAGTCACACCAGCCAGGGCTGTTATATTTTATTTTATTTATTTATTTTTAATCCTCACCAGAAACTGTTTTTTTCAGAGAGAGCAAAACATTGATGTGAGACAGAGACATTTATTGGTTGCCTTCCACGTTTGCCCCAACTGGGGCCAGGGATAGAGGTCATGCTTAGAGAGGAAGGGAGAGAGAGAAAGAAATATCGATTGGTTGCCTTCCACACAGTCCCCAACTGGTGATCGAAGCCACCACCCAGGTATGTGCCCTGACTGGGAATTGAACCTGCAACCTTTTGGTGCATGGGGTGACACTTATCCAACTGAGCCACTGTGGTTGGCTTCTCTGTTGTATTTTAAGTATTAGTGCCTGCTTTTTAGATTTTTCTCATAACTTTAGCTTCTGTGCTGTTTTGTATGTAGACATTCAGTTTCTTTAACTTTTCTCCTTACCAGTGCTGTGGAGCACCCTAGTGTGCCGGAGTCTCCAGAATTTGTAAGGGTCAGATCATATGAATCCCAAATGGTTATCCGTCCCCACAAGTCATTTGATGAGGTGAGTTTTACATCATCCAAGAGGCGTGTGTGGGAGCTTTGGAATTTTCTCGAGGAATGCCATTTATCTGAAATGGGGAGGTCATTGGTGCATTGGTTCTCAGAATCCACTGGAGTCTGAGAATTTGGATTTTTAAGAAGTTCCCAGGTGAGGCTGATGCTACTGGACTGGAGACCACACTTTGGGAACCTCTGCTGTGGGCTGATAGACCTGGAGGATTTCCCGAAGACAAAGTACCATTTATCTGAGAGACAAGAGAAGATGATATCCCCTAACTTATCAGCCTGTGGTTAGCAGCATTCTTTAGGAACTGGAGCGAGTACTTTTCCATTAAAATTTCACCACACTGGGAAGAACATATGCAACCATTCTTGACTTCTGTTTCCTTGTCTGTAAAATGAAAGGGTTAGACCAGCAATTTTCAACCTTTTTCATCTCATGGCACACGTAAACTAATTACTAAAATTCTGCAGCACACCAAAAAATATATATTTTTGCCTCTGTGACAAAAAAAAAAAGGTATAATTTTGATTCATTCCCACTGAACAGCTGTTGTTGTGTGGGCCGTTGTCATTTTTTTATTTGACAATCTAAAGCAGGGTTGGGAAACATCTGGCCCGTGGGCCATATGCAGCCTGAGAAATAACTTAGTCTGGCCCTGCCAAGGCAACTGCAGGCGGAACTCAAAATTAAGTAAATCTAGGAGCTTTTTTCATAGCTAATTTTTTTTTTTTTTTAAATATATCTTTATTGATCTCAGAGAGGAAAGGAGAGGGAGAGAGAGAGATGGAAACATCAGTGATGGGAGAGTCATTGATTGGCTGCCTCCTGCATGCCCCCAACTGGGGATCGAGCCTGCAACCCGGGCATGTGCCCTTACCAGGAATCCAACCCCGATTGCTTGGATCCTAGGTCGATCCACTGAGCCACGCACAGCCGTGCTCATAGCTAATTTTTAAGTTGATAATTTTGTATGGTCCTCGAATAATGTTATAAATATCCAAATGGCCCTTGGTAGAAAAAAGGTTCTCTACCCTTGGTCTAGAGAGAACTGGGTTGCAGTGTAAAAAGGATTATTTACAGTGTGTGGTAGTTAAAAATGTTTGGAAGTCCTTGCTTTAGAAGACAGAAAAGAAATAAGACTGCTGTTGATGGCTAGTTACCTTTTTAGGAAGAAGAGTCTAGATCAGGCTGGGAGCACTGTAGGAGGCAGACTTAGGTTGCTTTTGAAAATTGAACTTTGTCCATATATTTCCTGTTTGGAAGAAATTGACTTGAATTCCAGCACTGCAGCCTTTAGAAACTGTGAGCATAAAACAGCTAAGCCATAGTTCAGCACCTGGCACAGTATGTTGTATCTCACAGGCACCCAATAAATAATTTCTTTAGCTGGGGTGGGGAGACACTAGGAATTATCTCTATAATTCTTTTAGTATATTTGTGGCAAGCTCTTATGCATAAGGTAAAGCTTGAGCTGGTTCTTGTGAAAAAGCAGGTAGACTGTAGATAGAGGAAAACAGGAAGGACACTAAGGGTAGAAGACATGTTTAACATGTCTAACAAAGATGAGAATGAGCCCTGGTCGTGTTCAGAGACACATTGCATAGAAAGGAAGGTAGAGGCTGCGGGGAGTGATAAATTACATTGGCTTATACAGAGGGTACTTGAAAAAGGCAGCCAAGTATGGATTTGCCTGATGGAAAATAGAGCCTTGAGCCAAGGTATGGTGTTTTGTTTTACTTTTTATTATGGAAAATTCGAAATGGTATACAGAAGATAAAGAATTAGCAACAACCTGATGTATCCATCCCAGCTCCAACAGTGATCAGCTCGTAACCAAACTTGTTTTATTTGTACCCTTTCCCAATCCCCTGATTATTTTGAAGCAAATTCTAGTGTTGCTATAGAAGAACCCATAGAAGAATTCTTCTATAGATATTTTAGTATTTATCTCAGAAAGATTTTTGAAAACATAACCTCAATATCATAATAATCCCTAATATCAAATATGTAGTCAGTGTTCAAATACCCTGGTTGTCCATGATTTTTTTTAGTTGGTTTATTTGAATCAGAATCTAAATAAGATCCAGATGTTGAAGTTTGTTCATACTGTGTCTTTTTTTTTTTTTTAGAATTTGCTATGACTAATATTTTATTGCCCATTATGTACGTGATACTTTCATATTATTGAATAGGCTAATTCTTATAACAACTCTGTGTGGAAGACATTATTTGCAGATTAGGGCACCAAAGACAGAAGGCTAAGGGACACATTTGATTTTATACAACTGTGATAATAAAGGTTATCATTATATATAACAACAGCCCCTAGTGCTTTATGTGTGAATTGTTTCATTACAATGCTATGAGATAGGTATTATTGTCATTCCCAATGAATAGATCAATAAATTGACATGCATTAAAGTTATTTCACCTGCCCACAGTCACACAGACAGTAAGTGGTAGAGTTGAGGTTTCAATCCAGGGTGAGACTGACTTCCAAGGACAAGCACTAGGCAGCGTTTATTGTCTAGTCTAGTAAGTGGTACAGTCACAGATTGAACTCACATCCTTAGAATCCAGAACTGGTACTCACTTTTCTGTACATTTTGCCAAGATAACTACCCTCAACAACTGTCAGCTTGTTTGTGTTCCCCATCTGGCACATGATTGAATGAGCAGTGAAATGACCAGTGATCATCAGGCAGAGAGAGAAGAGGGAGGAGAATGGAAAGTTTATTTAATTCTTGTTAACTAGACAGTCAGCCTCCAAATAACAGGTTGTGCACTGAATATAAAATTGCATTCAGAAGGGTAGTATAAATCCTCAGATATCGAGAAGAGTATATGTGTCTAATTTTAAAGGAAAAATTAATATTTTTCATTTTTTGACATTCAGTATTTAATAGTCTCAGGTGTACATAGTGCTTAGATAATTATATAATTTATAAAGTGACCCTCCCGATATTTCAAGTACCCACCTAGCACATACATAGTTATTACAGTATTATAGACTGTATTCCCTATATTGCATTTTACACCCTCGTTGCTATTTTATAACTACCAATTTGTACTTGCACTCCTTTCACCTTTTTCACCCAGCCTCCCCCCTCTTTCCCCTCTGACAACCATCAGTTCTCTTATCTATGAGTCTGTTTCTGTTTTGTTTGCTTATTTTGTTTTTTAGGTTCCTCATATAAGTGAAATTATGTGTTATTTATCTTTCCCTATCTGACTTACTTCATTTAGCATAATATCCTCTGGTCCATCTCTGCTGTCACAAATGGTATTATTTCATTCTTTTTTATGGTCAAATAATATTCCATTGTATATGTTTTCCACAACTACTTTATCCATTGGTTTGTTGATGGTCACTTGGGGTGCTTAAATATTTTGGCTATTGTAAATAGTGCTACAATGAATGTAGGAAGGGGCACAGATATCTTTTTGAATTAGTGTTTGGGGTTTCTTTGGATAAATAGCCACCAGTAGAATTGCTGGGTCATACGGCAGTTCCATTTTTAATTTTTTGAGGAACCTCCATACTGTTCCATAGCAGGTGCACCAGCTTGCATTCTTGCCAACAATACACGAAGGTTTCTTCTCTACATCCTCACCAAAACTTGTTAAGTTATTGATGGTAGCCATCCTGGCAGGTGTCAGGTGATATCTTATTGTGGTTTTAATTTGCATTTCTCTGATGATTAGTCACATTGAGCATCTTTTCATATGTAGTTGCCCATCTGTATGTCTTCTCTGGAGAAGTGTCTATTCAGATTCTCTGCCCATTTTTAATTGGATTGTGTTTTTTTGGTGTTGGGTTGTATGAGTTCACCAGGTTAGGGAAGTTTTCATCATTATTTCTTCAATTAGGTGTTCAATCCCTTTCTCTCTTTTTCCTTCTGGTTTCCCTATGATGTGAATGTTGTTACACTTGATGTTGTTTCAGATGTCCCTTAAACTATCCTAATTTTTTTTTAATTCTTTTTGTTGCTCTGATCGGGTGTTATCTGTTATCTGATTGGGTGTTTATTTTCCAAATCGCTGATTCGATCCTCTGCTTCACTTAATCTTCTGTTGATTCCTTCTAGTGTATTCTTCATTTCAGTTATTCTTCATTTTTGACTGGTTCTTTTTTATGGTTTCTGTGTCCGTCTTTCTGTTTATTAACTCTTTGTTGAAGAATAGTTACCTATTCTTCTCCTAAGTTCCTTGAACATCCTTCTAATCATTGTTTTGAACTCTCTTATCTGGTAGATTGCTTGCCTCTATTTCATTTAGTTCTTTTTTTTGGAGATTTCTCCTGTTCTTTCATTTGAGACATGTTTCTTTGTCTCCCAATTTTGGCTGCTTTTCTATTTTTGTTTCTATGTATTAGGTAGATCTGCTGTGTCTCCTAGTCTTGGTAGAGTGGCCTTATGTAATAGGCGTCCTGTGGGGCTCACTGGCAGTCTCTTTGATCACTTGAGCTGGATGCTTCATGAGTGTCCCTTGTGTGGTTTATATGACTCCTCTTGTTGTAGTTGAGTCTTGATTGCTCTTTGCATATTAGTGGGTGGGGTTGACCCTCAGGCTGGCTGGCTATGAGGATTGGCCCCTCCACAGTGTATGAGCTGCTATGCGGGGGCTGACCCCAGGAGGTGGAATTTGGTCCAGCAGGGTCTAGTGCCTGCCAAGACCTCCCTTTGGGTGTTTCCCTTGTGGAGCTAATCAGGTTGTGCTTCATTTTGGTCTGAAGCCAGCCACAGGGTGTGTTGGTTCACGGAACTCCTGGTAGGGACTCTGCCTATGACTTGCCCTGGGCTGCCCGTTAAGAGCTATAAAGTGTTCCACAGTAAGTAGCTGCTTATGTGGGCCTGGGTGTGTGGGGGAGGGGCCAAGCTGTGTACTAAAGTGGCCGTCTGCCACCAGTACCAGACCTAGGGCAGGTCAGCAAATGGCCCAAGGCACTCTCTGCAGAGCCTCGGACAGTGTGTGAGTTGTATGAGGCGGGTTCTCAGGGAGTTACCAGGTAGGGGCTAACTATGTTCACCAGGTTAATAGACTGGGTGTGAGGCCACTCAGCAAAAGTCTCAGCATACACCGAGGCCAACTGCCACCCATCTGGGACTTCCAGGCCTTTGCAGTGTGGTAAGGGTCTCAGGGAGTCGTCAGTGTGGAATCAGTGGAGTTCGTTATGCTAAAGCAGGTTAAGATTTGACTCTGTGGAGGAAGGGCTTGGTTCAGGAATAGTGGCTCCTGTCAGGCACACAGGAAGACAGCCCTCACCCTAAAGCCATACAACTCAGTCTCTGTGTGTCTTTGGTACCCCCAGAGCTCACCCAGAATTCTTTGAGAATTTTTCAAGAAAGACTGCAACTCAGGCCCAGGCTGGTCACAGTCAGTGGGTCCTCAGGGTGTGGTCAGGTGGAGCTAGTACAGTTTTCCAGGCTAATGCTTTGGGGATGTAGTGGGCCCAACAGGAATGAAACCCAGGTTGGGTGCCAAGGAAAAATGCCCTCACCTTAAAGCCACACAACTCGTTCTCCTTGTGTGTCTCTGGTATCACCCAGGCTTGCCCAGAATGCCTCGAGAGTTTTTTTAAAAAGACTGTAACGTGTACCCACGCTTGTTTCCAGTGGCAGAGCTTACAGCCCTGTTGGAGTTGGGAAGAGTGGGGCCTCAGGAGTAGTGGGGCTTGGGCTTGTGTAGCTCCCCAAGCTAATGCCATGTGGGAGGAGTGCTTGATCCAGGAAAGAAGGGATGCATGGGCATTGTGGGAGATGGACTCAACGCAGGGATGTTAGTAGCTGTCCCTCCACCCCTCTCCCAGAAGCCACACAGCGCGTTCTCTCCCTGTATGATTCAAGTACCCTGCAAGCAAGATTTTGTGCTCTGTCCCTTTAAGACGGGTGGGGAATATCTGGCCCACCGGCCAGTATTGTCTGGCCTGGCCCTGCCAAGGCAGCTGTAGGCGGGACTTGAAATTCAATAAATCTAGGAGCTTTTTTTATAGCTAATTTTTAAGTTGATAATTTTGTATGGCCCTCAAATGATGTTATAAATATCCAAATGGCCCTTGGCAGAAAAAAATTTTCCCGCCCCTGCTTCAAGAGGATGCCTAGGTTTCCAGTAGCTTTTCCTCTCACCCAGAAGGATTGAGTTTCCTCAGGTTTTCATAGTCAGGCATTATGTGGTCTCCTCTTCCCAGCACTGGTGGTCTGGGCTGGGGAGCCCCTCGTGGGCTTGAGACCCCTTGCTCCTCGGGGGGGACCTCTGCAGCTGAGATAATGTTACAGATTCTCAACTGCCACATGTGGTTGTGGGGCCAGCTCATTTAGGATCTCTGCCACTCCTCTATTAGTCTGGATGTAGCCTCTTCTGTATAGTCTTAGTTACAGGACTTATGTTCAACTAGGGATTCTCCAAAGATAACTTTTTTTTTTAATACCATTAGAAACTCACTGAATGTGTATATATTTTATTAGCTTTAATTCATTACAGTTATTAATTATTTTTTCTAGTGAGTTTATTTGAGCCAAACCAAGGACAATTGCCTGGAAAGCAAAATCTCAATGGAGTGAGAAAATGCTACTCTGGTTATTCTTTTTTTTAAAAAATGTATCTTTATTAATTTCAGAGAGAGGGGGAGAGAGAGAGAGAAACGTCAAAGATGAGAGAGTCATTGATTGGCTGCCTCCTGCACAGCCCCACTAGGAATCAAACCTACAACCTGGGCATGTGCCCTGACCAGGAATCGGACCCCGATCTCCTGGATCATAGGTCGACTTTCAGCCGCTCAGCCATGTCGGCTGGGCTACTGTGGTTATTATTGATGCTCAAACTGTCCTGTGTTTGGCTACTGGGAGCATCATCTTACTGGCTTGAATCCTTTGACTTGATCTCAGGAGCTCTGTTTTCTGGTATTATAAGATGTCCCAGCTTATCGTGTAGTTTTAGCTCTAAACCTCGACGTTTATATTTTTTCAGGGGACCCTTGTTCCTCTTAAGGAAATGTCACTCAAGTATCAAAATTTGTCTTCCAGGAGTACTCATAGTAGTAGCAGCTTGCTCTTTGTTCTTAGGCTTTTTCACAAGATAGAACTAAGTAATAAGTTTCATTTGTTTATTTTAAAGATAAATCCTAAGTGCATACTAATACTTAGGATTTACTAATTCAAACTCAGGACTGTATAATTATTTTGTTTGTTTGTTTTTGTTAGTCCTCACCTGAGGATTTTTTCCATTGCTTTTTAGAGTGTGTGGAGGGGAGGGGTGGAGAGAGAGTGAGAGAGAGAAACATCGATGTGAGAAACACACATCGATTGGTTGCCTCCTGCATGGGCCCCAACTGGAGCCAGGGATCAAACCTGTAACTCAGGTATGTGCCCTTGACTGGGAATCAAACCTGCAACCCTTTTGGGGGGGGCTCTAACCACTGAGCGCACCAGCCAGGGCGAGGACTATGTAGTTTTTATTTATATGTTACATCTACCCTTTTTCTCTGTGCTGAAAAACTAAATTCTCAACTCCCCACCCCAGTGTAACACTCATTTACTTGAACCTGAAACACACAGCAGTCTCAGACTAGTAATACCAACAAGATCAATAATGTGATGACTAAAAACAATGTGTGTCTCCTGAGTGTTTATAACTGGTTCTGTGGTGGGCACTGTTCCCATTCCCGCTGTCTGGGCCTTACTTCTCCTTCCTCTTACCTCCGTAGTATTCCTCTGGAGCTCTGTTACGGCACACATTTAGGCACCCAGCTAGCCTTCTAATTGGAAGTTCCCAAGGGCAAGGACTAGCACATTTTTTTTTCCTATAGCACTTAGCACAATGCCAGACACGTAGCAGACATTCTGATAATATTGAGTACACGAATAAGAGAATGAACAGTTTCCTCAGGGAAAAAGGATATGGACTTTGGTGTAAAGGCACAAGAGCTTGAAGTCTAGGTCTGCCACCTGGAGTTGTGGCTGTCTGCCATACAAAGTGCAGACTCACAGTGGTTCCCCTTACCCCTTGGTGGGGGGTGGAGCATAATTGGTTCGGACAGGATCAGGACACCTACAGGCCTCCTTAATCCTTGTCCTTCACTCTATCAGGCAGCAAGAGGGCTGACCCAGAAAGCGTGGGTACGTGGGCCCCATGGTCAGAGTCCTGGGTTCATGTTGGCTCTCATTGAGTATATGAAGGGTGACCTTAGGCCAAGTTACTTAACCTCTCTGAGCTGAGTTTCCACATCTATAAAATGAGGGATAACAGGTCCTACATTCTGGGATTGTTGTGAGGAGTTGAAGCTGTTCTTAGAACATAGTTAAGCACTGTGTGAATGTTTGCTGTTAGTAATAGAGTTAATACCATTTTGGTAAAGGTTAAGATCTTTCAACAGTGAGGGTGTGTGTTGGGGTCCGCAATACCACCCCCACATTAGAAGATCCACTGTAAGGACTCATAGGACAGCATATAGTTGTCCTCACAGCTAAGATTCATCACACTGATACACAGGGATGCACAGCTGGATCATAAGGGGAAAGGCAGAGCCCGGAGGGATCCTTGTGCAGGCTTCCCACGCCCTCTTCCTGTCACGAGGGTCACAGAGCCCATTCTTCTCCCAGCAACAAGAATGCAGCAACATGGGTGTGATGCTCCTGCCCAGGAAAGCCCATTAGAGACTTGGCACCTGAGATTTTTATTGGGGGTGGTTCCATAGGCACCTTCTGTCCAGCACATACCAAAATTACAGAGCTCCAGGAGGAAAGCAGGTGCTCAGCATAAATTGCTTGATTTGCAGGAGGCAGTGGAAGCCATTCTTAGCATTTGAATGGGGTCACTCCTGCATCCAGGTTCCTAGGCTCCAGCCAGCAGCCAACCTTGCCAGCAGGCCTTTCTACGGATAGCAAGCAACCTCTCAGGTCTTCAGGGTTAACTCTTCTGCTTAGGGTTAAAGAAATGGCACTCTCCCCCAGCCTCAGATCATGGTTGTCCTGTGGGCCTGGACAAGGAGGCTGTGGTAGGTAATTCTTCAGGTACCTTCATGTTCACTTTTTTCTTTTTCAGAATGGCTTTGACTACTTGTTGACATACAGCGACAATCCCCAGACTGTGTTTCCTCGCTACTGTGTTAGTTGGATGGTTTCCAGTGGTGAGTGGGCACTTGTGTGCAGGGCCTGGAACCTGGGTTGAGCATTTTGTTTTTCTCTAGCTTCTTATTGGCAGCAGCTAGATTCGTACTTGTGTTTCTGGAGTCCTCTTGGGGAAATTAAACATCCTTCTAAGCTTGTGCTTGAATGTTATGAAGCTGTGGAAGCCTCCAGCTGGGTTTGGAGGGATGAGAAGTATGAAGTCCCAGAAAGGAGCTGTACTTAGAGGGGAGTTTTAAGGGCATTTGTTTAATGCCTTAAATATGGATTGTGGACATTAATGAACTTAAAATTTTTTTACTTAGGTAGTGTTGAGGACATAAAATCTGGCAGAGAAAATATGGTGGTCATAGGACAGTCACCTGGAGAAAGGGGCAGCACCTGTCCTAACAAAGGCTATACATCATGGCTGTACTCATACCTTTCTCTTTCAGTGTCTTGCCTTAAAAAGCATCCTGATGTGATTTTCTTTCTTCTGGCATCTTCTTGTACCTCGGGGGAAAATGCAGAGGATACTAGGTATATAGGCTGTGCCACTGATAAGTGATATCGTTATCACCTGAAAGAGGCACTTGGGATTTAAGTGCCTTAAATCCCTTTTCAAATGATCTCAGAGGTCATGGGTTGTTTTCACTCTACATTTTGAGAGGGAACTGCCACCCACAGGTTGTCAATCAGGCTGTGATCTCTATAAGAAGGGATGGGCTCCACCATGAAGGAAATAGGGCTTTTGAATTTTGAGCCCACTGCTGGGTTGTCTGTCAGCCTGCTTACATTCCCTTCTCTCCAACAGGCATGCCAGATTTCCTGGAGAAGCTGCACATGGCCACCCTGAAAGCCAAGAACATGGAGATCAAAGTAAAAGACTATATCTCATCGAAGCCTGTGGAAATGGGCAGTGAAGCCAAGGCCACCACACCATCTTCTGAGCGGAAGAATGAGGGTAGTTGTGGCCCTGCCCGGATCGAGTACGCTTGAAGGGCTTTGGGATAAGAAGGGACAGGCCACTTCTAGCCCTGTCTCGGTCCCTGTCACTCTGCTACAGAACAGGGACACGTACTAGAAGACGTCTGCTATAACCACCAGTGCAAGATAATTCCACAACTGGTGTCTGGTTTCACTCAGAGCTGCCTTTGCTCTCTGTCAAAACGAAGGAGGAGGCGGCGCCCAGGGGTGTTGTCCTATTCTCAGGCCAAGCGCTCCGCAGTTCAGTATCCCAGCGCTAACCTGGAGCAACCCGTGCCAGGCCAGGAGGGGCGACTTGTTTCTGCTTCCTCTGAATGGTTTCCTCTGCCAACATTCCAGTTCCCACCATCAGTTCTGCAGCGTTTGGACTACTTTAGTCTGAAGGTCCAACTGGAAAGTGAAGGAGGCCCGTTGATGGTTCAGTGAGGGGTCTTTGGGAGTGCTCTTGGTACTGTGATAGTCCTGGTGGTGAATGGATGCGAACTGTTGCTTGGCAGTGTAAGTGCCTTGTCCTCACCTTCTATCTTTAGGAACATAAAGTTTGCACCAGGAAGTTTCTCTCTTCGCTTCCCCAATACCACCCATTGACTATCCAAAGCCATTTCCTTTGGTCTGGCCGGTTCTACATTCATGCACTATGTTAAT